AAATCACCGATTGTAACGTCGAAGAGATTAGAAGAAGATTCATCATCCATACGTTCGAGGAAATCGATGCGACATTGAGGACATAACAGAGGAGACGAAACAGAGGATGATGGTGACGAGAGAAGCGATAGACTCATATCGCATTCGTGACACCAGTACGTTCTCCGATCTGACTCGCCGTGTGCGGTGGTTGTTGCGGTGGTGGAAGACGACGACATTGAGAAGTGGTGGTGGTTGTTGTGGAAAATGCGAGTGAGAGAAAAACAAAAAAACAAAAATTTAATGGTTGTGATGGTGACTAGTGATAATGGATCCATGATTGGTTTAAAGATTTTGAAGGGCTTTTTTTATGGACTTTTTTTTTCTATATAAAGTTAATGGATTAAAGTTGGTTTTATGGGCCCACTATTTTACTTGGCTTTATTCGGAAGGTTTGGTAGTGAGTCGATCTCTATTCTCTATTATATTCTTTGCACTTAAAACTATTTTTTTACACAATTTTCAAGTCCAAATGTAAGATTTTATGTTTTATAATATCGTTTATTGATTCATATATTTGTATATATGGATGATAATTACTTTGCTACATTTATTTCGCCAAATAATTGTTGTTATGTAGTTTGAGCGGTTAACATTAAAAGAGTGTTTTTGCATTAGACAAAGCGTTTAAACACCATCATGTTTTTACTTACAAAAATAATACAAGTTTAATTTAATAGGAATTTGAACATCAAAGGTCGCTTTGGCCGAGTGGTTAAGGCGTGTGCTTGCTAAGCGCATGGGATTTTCCCGCGAGAGTTCGAACCTCTCAGGCGACGTCTAAATTTTGTTTTTTCTTATCAAAACTTGATTTCGTGTAGTTTTTTGCGTCTCTTCGGTGGCGTTTTAGCTGGAATGCAACGTGACTTCTCGTGTAAGCAATTTTGAAGAAGTAGAAGAAAGACACAGAGACAAAACAACAATCAAGCAAAAGAATCTCTTACAAGTTGCTTTTAAAGATTCAACACATCGATCCACTGATCCTTTTCAAGCAAAATTCCAAAATTCACCCCATAACCAAATCTGGAAAAACTCAACATGACCGCATGAATGAGATTTTCTCAGACTATCTCATTCTCTTTCTCTCTCTGATCACTTTCAATATTTTATACATTTTCCTCTTCCAATTTCCAAGATTTTATAATAGTTTTATGTATTTTCAACTAAAAAGAAAATGTCCCTATGAGATCATAATGACGTTTTGATGAAAGAAAAGTATTAAGGTAAGTGGGGAAGAGTGAACAAAACGATTTCAGTTTCTTCTCTATTCTCTTTATGCCTTCTTTCCCCTCTTTTGGGGAGTCTTATGAATCAATCTCTCAATTCA